TTTTTTTTTTCTTTTTCCCTCTTTCGTCTCTTCTTTACAACTCCAATTCTCTACACCTGATTCAAGATGATCCAGAAAGCAAGAGGTCCGTGGGCAAATTCGCCCTGCTTCTGCGTTCTTGGCGTTCCCATTCGGTACATTCATTGTCCGGACTAGTAAATGTACAGTACAAGTACATACATACATATACATACCGACATCATCATCATAGTAGACTACTAGTAGTACTACTACTAGGCAGTATCCGTAGCCAATACCGATATGTTCTGAATTTAGTGATAGGTAAAGTTCACGTTATCGCCAAGTTGGGTAGTTGTTCAGTCATTGCCAGATGCCAAATGGCTCCTTCATCCACTCGTTTCATCCCAAGTCATTCCCATCCTCCACGTCAGGGTTGGTGATTCAGAGCTGACCAGAAAATGGCCCCATCCAGTGTCATCCCTACCTGACTACAACGACTCGTACTTGTTGGCCAAGATGAGGTCCGATCTTCGTCCGAGAGGTTCGGTGATAGGCTCAACCGCCCACCTTTTCGGGCACAAGGATCGACCTACACTGTTACACAAGGCAATTCTGGCCGAATGATCCTGGACATGGGATTCATTGTGATTATTGTCCTTAGATTTTTTATTTTTATTTTTATTTATTTTTGTCCCTTTTCTTTTTTGTCAATGATTTAATAATTTAATTATTTTATTGGATTTTATTTCCATCATGGTTATTATTTTGAATCCTTTTTTTATTATATCTCCTTTCAACTTCTTGCTATTGGGGGGTGGGTTGATGGTCGTTGGGACACTGTTTATGCAGCACTTATGAGGAGGAATGTCTACATTACCTGGCTGAGTTATGAGTCCCTGCATGTAGAGCTAATATTGAAACAATTGTATCACGCTGGTGTCCGTTTGTACATCGTTCGTTTCCTCTTCGCCTTCCGCACGACGAGGCCGATGGGCAGACCCAACTCGCTGTAATCCCCTAAGACCCAGCTATTATTGGAGATTTTCAGAAGCTCGCAATCAAATGAAAAAAAAAGGAACGCAGCTCCTTTACCGTCCAAACGCCATCATATCCCACCCACAATCATGCAGTCGATCTCTGTGCACGGGTAACTCCGGAACATGCAATGTAAGGTTAATTACCTGCGTGCAGCTATAGCCACTGGTATTATGACTTGGACACCCTTCCACTAGGTAGTTACTAAAGGTTTAGCACCTGTCAATGTAACAAGAGAAGTAGTCTCGTGATACGAATCATCTACCTAGTCTACAGGGTAAGGGGGTTGGGTGGGGTGCTTAGTAGAAGGAATGATGTTGGCCAACAGGTTCTATTCTGAATAAGACCTAGAGACTCTCAAAACAGGCTATCAGAGAAAGATAAGGGCTAGATCCTGTAGGATTCATTCACTAGGCGAAACAACGGTCCATATGGCGATGATTATCATGATTAGCAGACAAGCGAGATTAGGGAATTTAGTTTGGGGCCAATGGGTCTTCTTTTTCTCATCAACGTTGGCCTTACTAACCTAAATAATGTAATCCTTAGTTCTTCATGTTATTTATGTCGCACTGAGCGGCTGACACCGTCTGGACGTCTATCCACCACCAGCGGGGTTGTTCCAGTCCATGGCTTGAGCAGGTGATGTTCTATCCGATATGTCTCATCTTGGGTTCTAGAAGGTATTGCAAGGCGTATATTTCCTTCTGCGCGTGTCGCAATTGTACATACTAAAAAGACGGGGATATATATAGATAGTAGGCATGTAGATATGTAAACATATTCACACAACGTGAAACGCACTACTAAAGAGGAGCAGGTAGCTTTTCAATCCATCTCCGGAACTTTTCGCCCCGGAAATGAAACTAGATGAGCTCAGGGATGTCCTTCCTAGAAGATTTACAATCCTACTAAACAGTGTTGCACGGCATTGCGGAGTTCCCATATCTTTTTTTATTTATTTTAATTTTTTTTGTCAAACCAGCGGCAAGTTGCCCAGGTCTCAGGGAGCCGTCCGGATCAGCCGCTGGCCGCAGCATGGACTAGGATCTTCTTGTGGGTAGCTTACCAGAGGAGGGGCTCGGGTTTGCGGTTGGTTCGGTCCTTTGATGCTCTGCACGGAAGTAAAAAAAAAAAAAAAAAAGGCGCTGGATGATACCTAAGGATCCATGTACGCCGTACCTGCAGCGGTATTATCAAGTAGTGGGGAACAGGGCGCCAAGAAAGAACAAAAAGAAATGGAGGTGCGTCGTACCTGCTTCTGGGGTGAAAAATCTACTGCAACTCGAGAGGGTGAGGATAGCAGTTCGCACGAAATGCTGACATCTTGGAGGGTTCCGTTTTTTATTTTTATTTATTTACTTTATTGTTTTGCGTCCGTGTTGTACGGGATGAGGATCTGTTAGGTCCATGGAGGTTGTTGATTTGCTTGCATGACAGA